AAGTGGACTGAACAAAACGGCCGATTTGCCGATTTATTACTTTCCTCTTAGACAAGGTTTAGAGCCACGCTAGTAGTACCAATGGAGTCCTCTGGTCAAGATAAGGTCCTCTATGAAGTCTGGTAAGCAAAGGAGCTCGTTTTCCCGGTATAGCAAGGCTGCAAAAGTCGTGGCGGCAGACATTTTGTTTTGGGGTGAATCCTACTTAGTAACGCTACCGCGTTACTAATATATATATTTTTAAATACATATACATGTTTTATGTTGTGTGGCAAGTTTGAGCTAATCCCAAACAAAATTGGATTTTATACAAATTTTTGAAGTTACTCAAAAACCAGCCCAAAGTCCCTGTACTATAGTACAGTGTCACAAGCCAATTATTGCAAAAAATAAAATAGTGAGAATTCTCCACTTTCATAATTTTTCCTGATACATATACATGTTCTTATGTAGTATAGAAAGTTTGAGTTGATTCCGATCAAATTTGAATTTTTTTACAAAATTTTTAAGTTGCTCCAAAATCGGGCAAAAATCCCTGTACTATAGTAAAGGGCACGAGCCAATTTTCGTCAAAAATTAAAGGGTGAGAATTCTCCATTTATATAATCTTTCCTGATACATATACATGTTCTCATGTTGTGTAGCAAGTTTGAATTGATTCCAATTAAATTTAATTTTTTTACAAATTTTTAAAGTTGCTTCATACTATAGTACCCATTACTGTTATACTGTGTGTGTGTTATACTTCATTACAATTAAGTTACCTGATCTATAGCTGAGGTCTCCACTGACTCCATTAGCTGTTCTATGCAGTATCCATCTTCTCCTTAAATCACATAAAGCTCTGTAAAACTTGTGATCAGTTTGACTGGATAATCTCTTGAGTGGCTCAGCTCCTTTTCTTAATATCTTGGAAGCTACGTCAAGTGCCTACACAAAAACTCATGATAATATTAAATGTACATGTACATACACAATGAAAACATATTCATTAAAAACTATCAATCTAATAGGAACAAAGCTCACTAAAAGAACTCCTATTGATCTGTGTACCTAATTATATTAAACACAATACAGGTAAAGAAATAGTACATTCACACTGTGGCCAATACTATGCCTTTATAATCTTTTATATTGAGGTACATGTATTGTGCATGCACAACTGAATAAAGTAACAAATCCTGAGGCTAACTTTCTTTTTAATTTGGTATTGATATGAAGGAGGTAATGTATTTCTTATTAACATAAACTGGATCCAGTGACAAGTATTGATGATGATTATGAACAATTTGTAACACATCAGACAGTACACTAACTTCAGTCAATGCTTGCCTGCAATAAAGACAAAACTAATAATAAAGTTTAACTATCCTTTATGTATGCAATACACTGATACATTATTTATACTCTTGTTTATACAAATTCATGTATTTATGTACTTGAGTTTTGAGTGTGTGAATTCCCATGGCCAGCAATGACTTGGTTTCTTATATAGTTGTAGGACCAGAAACTCCCTCCTCCTCCTCTTGTTTCTTCTTTCCTTCTTCTCTGTCATTATCATCATCAGCTCTCTATTCTCTCAACATGTTGAGCTAATTCACTTAGTTTCTGGTCTCCTACAAATAATTACATAATATATTTAAGTAATGGCAAACTACAATTAATGCAATTCTATAACTGTATAATAGCTGCATTATTTGGATCTTACACAAGTACCTATTTCTAATGCTATTAATTTAGTTTAGAATTCCCAACTTAAATTTGATAATGGTGGGCATATACACATTTACTTCATAATTACATTGTGTAGTATTAAGTTTCTAACAGCGAAAGAACATAGAGATACTGTCTAAAGTCTCTTCTGGAAGAATTAGAAGGTAGAGAGAAGTTTCATAAGTCTTAATAAGAACCCAGCTATACATGCAAGGTGGTGAAAACAATTATAGGAATATTTTTATACTGCCACGCTATAGCCCATAGTTTTTTCCAAAAAATGGCTCCCAAATCACCTCCAATTTTTATTACATTTTCTGATACATATTGATGTTCTTATGCTGTGTAGAAAGTTTGAGCTGATTCTAATTTCAATTTTTCGAGTTACGGCCATTTTAAAAAAGTGCCAAAATTCTAAAAAGTACCCAAGGCTATAGCCCATGGTTTTTTCCAAAAAATGGCTCCAAAATCTCCTCCAATTTTTATTACATTTTCTGATACATATTGATGTTCTTATGCTGTGTAGAAAGTTTGAGCTGATTCTAATTTCAATTTTTTGAGTTACTGCCATTTTAAAAAAGTGCCAAAATTCTAAAAAGTACCCAAGGCTATATGGTTTTTTCCAAAAAATGGCTCCAAAATCTCCTCCAATTTTTATTACATTTTCTGATACATATTGATGTTCTTATGCTGTGTGGAAAGTTTGAGCTGATTCTAATTTCAATTTTTCGAGTTACGGCCATTTAAAAAAAGTGCCAATATTCTGAAAAGTACCCAAGGCTATAGCCCATGGTTTTTTCTGAAAAATGGCTCCAAAATCACCCCCCATTTCTATTACATTTTCTGATACATATTGATGTTCTTATGCTGTGTAGAAAGTTTGAGCTGATTCCAGCTATAAATTTTTTGACTTGCTGGTAAAAAATGAAACTTAACTTTTTATTGCTTTTGTGTCATCTAACGAACTTATGGCCTATGAAACTTAAAAAAATAAAATTTTAACTTCCTGTTCTTGTTCTCACTTTTGAGGTGTGAACAGATAATTGAAAAGGTGACAACAGCTAATATCAAGCTAATTTTAGCTCACCTCTAACCTCTAACAAGATACCTTTATATTAAGCTATTTCTTATTACTTCCATTAGTACTACACTAAGGACATGATAGGACTCCAAATGCTAAACAATGCCGGTAAAATTAAAGTGTATGAGATACCAGGAGTCGAGCACACCCACTGGCACACCAATCAGTCTTTGTTTAATGATGCCATCATACAGTGGCTGGACTAGCACTGAACTCTGTGTGTTGTATATTAGCTAAATTTGTTACACGTTTGTAATTCATAATTTTTGTCATATTTCATTTATTCTTTTTCTTTATTTTATTTTTTTATTAGCTAAAGTATCTGCAGTAATAATTTGTTATTATTATTGTTTTTCTTATTATTTGTTTGTTATTGCTAAGCTAGATATACGCTATCAGAATCAGTTATGATTGCACTGAATGCTGTTGACTGCAACACACTGACAAATGTACATGTAGGTAACTTCCTTGGGTCTTGACACTAACTGCAAGACCACTTGCTTGACTCTTACATAAATTAACATCTATACACCATAGGCGGCTGCAGGATTTGACTACTAGTCGGGCATGGGTGTGGCACAGGAAATGGGTCGGGCGCGCGAAGCGCGCTGCAATTTTGACCACACCCTCTTTTACGCACCCTTTTTAGCGCAATTTTTTGGTAGCGAAGGTTATTGTAATAAAGTAGTGGGTGGTGTAGCTCCAACACTGACTTCTGTAATGGTAATAGTACTAGTAGTAGTATTAGTAGAGGAAGTAGAA